GTATGCTAACTTTTGCACTATCTGGTCTATCTTGCCTTTGAAAGACTCTAACTTGAGCTTCGGAGCCCTTACGCCGGGTTCTCCCCGGAGCTTCTCTTCTCCCTCCGTTTCAGGTCCCTGCCACCCAGTTCAGAGGCAAGATCGTTGACAGCTAAGATCGGCCGGATTGTGCATCATCACATTCCATTGATGAAATTAAGACTAAAAAAAGCCTCAGAATTGCTTGGACTTATTAAGCTAACCAAAATTTCCTCAAAATAAATAAGTAAGCCATTATTCCAATTTATCATTAAATTCTAAGAAGATGACATACCAAAACTGCCCTTTTATCTTATCCCCATCTACTGTCTACTGATAATAGTTATTTACTATGCAAATTCAAACCAATGCAATACTTTGTATCGCATGCATGTGACTGACTGGTTTGGTTATTGAAGCATTTGATTATAAAGTGCAAACCAATGAATAGATTGATTATTCATAACTTGATATATAAGAAAAAAAAGCTCAAAGAAGAGGAACAAATTAATTTAATGAAAACTTACATGGAAGATGCCTATTCCATGGAACTGTGCCATCTCTCCTGTGGGAGCATGACCTTTGAAAGGGCCCTCCATGAAAGCCCAGTGCCTGAACTTGTAGGCAATAACTGGAGGACCCGAATAGACCTGAAGAATTTCCACAGCGAACCCACGAGGGAATGTGGTGATGAAAGCCTGGTGAGAAGATTCAGGTGTTTCAATTGATGGGTCGAACACACGTAAATTCTGCGGCAAGGAGGTTTGCAGGAATAGATTGTAGCTTCCAATTTTCCTCACCTCTTGAAGCAGCAGGGGTTTACCTCCTACATTAATTTAATTTCATGCACCGTTTTAGCAATCAGAAGCTTGCAGCTAAGATAGAAAACTGGGACATAAATCAAAATAGAAAAGAAGAGAATAAGCATTCTAATACCATTTATGCTGATTGTAAAGTTGGTAGTGTTTACAGTTTTATAGTCAGCTGGATCCATCTTATGCACGAGCTCCATTTCCCATGTCTTCACTAGATTTTGCACTCTTTCCTCCAAGGACCCATTTGGCCATTCCTACAATAAAGTAGGAAAGGAAGAAGAAGAAGCTATTTCAGAGAGAGAGAGAGAGAGTTGGGAAAGAAATTACCTGGGTTCTGCCTTCCTCGAAGAGTTTGTTCACAACATCATAGTTGGGAGGAGCACCAAACCTCCACTTAGTATTCTTCTCTCCTTCCCCATAGATATGTGATCTGTACTTGTCGCCCTTGACCTCATCTTCAGTATCACAAGAGGAAGCCATCTTTCAGAGAGAGAGTGAGAGATGTAGGGAACTGGAGAAGCAGAAGCAGAGGTTATATTTAATACAGATTCCAGAGCCACTACGTTGAATTTGTTCAAACACTTACATGAGCAGAATGCATGTGATGAATCACATGAACATCCACAGCGAATTTTCCGTGGATTACACCATTTACTATTACTTTTCTTCTCTTTTACGATTAAAATAATAATAGCAATAATAAAATTAAGAGGACAACATCAATATATTGATCCTAATGTCCCCATCTTCTGGTATGTATGAACGAAAGAAAGAATCACAAGCTCCCAACAACACGCAGTTGATCGCATCCCATTTTTTATCTTCTCCATGTTAGCCTTGACTTCATTTATATATTTTTGTATTTATTTATTTGGGTAGTAAGTACAACTATAGCATGTAATTAATTATTAAATGGAAATAAGGAATCTTATCTCAAGTCCTAAATACGTAAAAGGCATTCTAGGAAAACCACAAAGCCTGGAGATCCAACTTCCATGGTACATGGCAACCTACTGAGTGAGAATAAACCCAACAAAGAAAGGAAAAACATGGTATAAGATCAGAGGATGATTAGGTGAAGAAGATCTGTTAGCAGTTGAATTGGTGTATCCCAAACAATTAAAATTGAGTGGACCATCAGATCTTGATTACCCAAAACCCATGACGTTCGGTTTGTGTCTTTTGACGAAGGTTGTAGGTTGGGAGCTTCTGAGCCTGGTGCTTCAATTCAATGAGATGGCATGAATTCTTCAAGGATAAAAACCAAAAATCTTACCTAACAGCTGGATTATTTCCAAATATTTGAATTATCTCATCTTTGAGGAGGGTAAGTAATTTTTCCATGGAGAAAGTTGCCAACACTTAGATGGGACAAAATTACTCCTTTTAATAATGGTTTTTAATTGTTAAAATGGTCATTTTCTTATTTACCTAGAAAATAAAAGAATATGGGTAAATACACTTATCCCGATAAATATTTCACAAAAAATACTTATCTAGGTAAGTGCATTTACCAAGTAACTTCCCGAAAAGCAAATGGGGCAGGTTATGGAAGACCTAACTTCAAAAAACAAAGAAGTCATGGAAGGCCTCATCACTCATTTGCTTTTTTTGTTAAGAAAAGCATAATAAATCTAATAAAGAGGAGAAGGCTCATCAGATATGCAGGTTTGAGTTATCAGCACTAATTAAAATCAGAATGGGTGTACTGAGTCTACTGACATTCTCAATTCTCATAATAGTTCCATTCTTCTGTGTATAGCCCAGCCTGAGATGTTTAACGAACCCTAACCCTAACCCAACCTGAGTAGAAGGCTTGGATTAGGATCTGCTCGGTTCAGAATGGGCTTGGGTTACGTTCTTCACTTCTTTTGTCTTTATGAAAAACAAAACGTCCTAGGTTTTAAGACTTCGAATTAAGAAGTTCAGGGATAACCAGCTCTAACATTAGCATAAATATTTATGCTAATGTTATGGTGCTTTTAAGGAACTAGTATATGTGTATGTGCTTTTTACATGACAATTTCTATAATTTTTTGTATTTCTATGTCTATTAAAATTATTATTATAAGTTTATGAAGTAGCAGATTTGACCTGAAATTTGAATTGATCCACCATCAAATCCCATCTCATTTTGAGGTGGGTCAGGTTTTGGGATTTTATGACCCATAGATATATGGTATTAAGTTAAACCTGACTCTCCCTAACTCGTATATATTCAATTTATTAAGATACCCTTATTGTTGTAAGACATATATATTGAAGCCAGTTGTAAGGGATATATGAACTTATATATTATGTGTTGAATTTAATAATGTTTTTAATCTTATGTAAAAGTATAATTGATAGTTTATGTACTTTCTACATGTTTGTTAATATTATTTTGCTTGTTTATTACTTATATGCAACAAAAAATAGATATGGATTTGAACCCAATTCACCTCTCAAATACAAGGGTAGGGTCAGAGAGGATTTTGAATTTCAATGTGGAGCGAGAGTTTAGATTTTTGAAAATCCAACTAGCTACGGGTTTTGGAAAGGGTATGGGCGGATACTCATGGGTAGATAGATATGTTTAACTTAAAATCAATGTTTCCAACCCACTAATAACCTGAATATTTGAACTGTTCAAACTATCACCCAGCCATGATTCAGGGTCCAACTTTTCTAAAACTAGAGTTTGGTAAAAAATTGATGGCTTGGTCAAAAACTGTCTGACCTAAGCAGTTGAACCGTTGACTTGTTCAATTAGGTTTTTTTTTTATTTTTAATTTTTGGGTAACTTTTTGATATCTATTTGTTGAAATGACATCTAGCCTAGCCATTTTCACCAAAATACTCCTTTTGGCCTTAAATCCCAATTTTTTTAACATTTTTTACAAATAAAAAATAAAAAATTGAAATAAAACAATATAATTAAAAACATTGCACATACACTGATGATAAGATGTGGCATAACATGACCCATTCAACCCCGATGATTGAACCAATGACCCAGAGGCAAAAATAGTTCAACCTCCGGGTCAATTTTTGTAACATTGCTTAAAACCATTTACAAAATCTATATACATATTATCTACAAAGTCTGCCTGTTTTAGAATTACATTCCGAATGAACAACCCCATGTCATTCTTGGTCTTGCAACATGCTCTCACAAGTTTCTCAAGAGTCGGGACTTACACCGGTCACAACCAAGGGTAGTGTGGATGGAAGAATAGTTCCGGTTCCAAGAGGAGGGTTTTTGTTTTTTTTTAAAGAGATTCGGAGAGGAGCTCTGGGTCACACAGATTATTAATTATTATTAATTTGCCATAAAATAGTCTCTCTGCATGCAATGTTTCTGCAATCCTGAACACGTTACTACTGTGTGCAATGATAGAACAAGATTTTTTTTTTTATCAATAATTGTGAAATGTATTCATTAAAGATGAGAAGAATTACAAAGCAAGGGGCTAAACAATCGTAGCTCCCTTAAACAGTCTATGAGCAGCAAATACAATTACAATAAAGCCCAAAACAAAGAGTTTCTATTAACCCCTTGCCTAGCTAAACCATATGCCAAAGATTTTGCACTTCTCTTAACCCATTTGTATTGAATTTCAACATCCTTAGCCAGCCACTTAAATTTTCGTTTTTCATTGCTGTACTTTCATATCCTTAAGTTATCTTCTTTTAACCACTTCACCACCACTTCAGAATCTCCTTCAATAATCAGTTTTCTAATTTGCATCTCCTTGGCTCTTCAAACCCCTTCAGTGGCTGCAAGAATCTCAGCCCTCAAGGAATCCCCTTCCCCAATTGGTCCTGAAAACATAGCTAACAGATTTTCATGTTCATCTCTTATTGCTCCCACTATTCCAGATGGGCCCGGATTTCCCATACTGCTGTCATCAAAGTTTAGTTTAAGAAAGCCATTAGATGGGGGACTCCAGCAAGAGAGTGATGTCTTTTTAGCTGAGGCTAGTTCTGCAATTTCCTTCCAATTTTTTACCATCTCATCTACTGAGAAGTCTACAAACAAGGCCAAAGTTTTCAGCCAATGTATCACCCTTATATGGCTTACCTCCAATATTACTTCCAAGGTTCTCTCATTTTCTAAAAATATCCTTGAGTTCCTCTCCTCCCAAACAGTCCAGCATACGGAAGCCCTCATACATCTCTACATAGCTTTGGCCCTTTTTGTTGGCCTATTCGGCATGAACCTAAATATTCAAAGGAGGGGCCCACCTACACCCAAAAAAAGAAGTACACCATTCCCAAATACTTTTAGTAAATCGACAAGAAATCAATAAATGGTATTCAGACTCACCGTCGGCTTTGCAGAGAGTACACCAATGAGGACACAAATAGTTGTTGGGTCTTTTTCTTTGAAGTAGATCACATGTATTAACTCTTTCCAGAAAGGCTTCCCAACAGAAACTCCAAACCTTAGGGGGTATAGGAAGACACCACACCTCTTTAATAGGGAATGACAGACCCAAAGAAAAAGGTTGGACTAGAGCTTTAAGGAAGGAAGCACATGTGAAGGAACCGGAAGGGGTGAGAGACCAAATTCTGCTATTTGTCTTTGTAGGCTCTAAAAAAAACCCTTCAAGAATAGATAGCAAGTATAGGACATAATCAAATTTTGTGTCCCTAATTTCCCTTCTAAAGCCCAAATTCCAACTGAACCCAGAGGTTGAGTTGGAAGGAACAAGGAAGGAGGAGACTGGCTGGTTTTTAAGAGTGGAAAGGATGAAAAGATTCGGAAATTGATCTTTTAAAGGAGAATCCCCAATCCAAATATGTTCCCAAAAATTAATGAGATTACCTGAGTGCAGGTCATACCTGATCCATGGAGAGAACAAAGGCAAAATAGCTTGAATAGCTTTCCAAAGTGCTGCTCTTGTAGTCCTTGCCACAATCCTAGAGTCCCATCCATTGTCTGCTACCCCATGAATACTACCCACTATCTTCACCCACAATTTATCATTTTCCAAAGAAAATCTCCACAACCACTTCCCTAGTAATGTCAAATTCCTACTCTTTATACTCCCAATACCCAAACCTCCCTCCCTCTTTCTCCTATAAGCCATCTCTCACCTAACCCTATGGTCCTTTTTCTCCTCCCCTGGCTTCTAAAAGAAATCTCTCATTTGTTTTTCTAACCTGCTAACTACCTTATCTGAAATCTTAAAGACTAATAAAAAGTAGACAGGAAGGTTAGTTAGAGTGGATCTAATTAAGGCGATCCTCCCACCAAGAGGCAAATAGTTATTTTTCCAAGTTGCAAGTCTCTTTTCAAACCTCTCCACAACCGGACTCCAAAACTCATCTTTCCTAGGGTTATCTCCTAACGGAAAACCAAGGTAATTAAGGGTTCAATTAGAGACTACACACTCCAGGATACCCGCACACTCCAACATCTCCCCCTCCCCCATATTTACTCCCACTAGACAGCTCTTATCAAAATTCATCTTGAGGTTTAACATTTGCTCAAAGAGCTGTATAGTGA